ACAGATAATGACTTCTGCTGGCTCCTGGATGGAGTTCATTATCTCTGCATAATAGGATGGGCTCGATTCAAATATGATCGTGTTATTAAATAGAAGATCAGAAAATGGAAGACGTGGGGAATTTTTTGTTGATCATTAAAAATATCCAGGTATAATGGAGTATTGTTCACCATGTCAGACTAATGATGTCCTCCACAAGTGAGGAGGAAAAGGGGAGATTTCATCAGATATGAAGAGAAATAATTAACTGCCTTTCTTTCCGCGGTGCCTTGGTCAGCGAAGCGGACATTCCAATTAGCAACTTGAGTACACACGCGGACCTCTGGATTTCGTAAGGAGGTTTGGGGAAAGGTATCATGACACTCTTTCTGTGGAAACTCATCAAGTGTCGAAGTCGCCCTGAATGCCAGTTACATCCATTCAGTTGCAGAGCTTATTAAAATGCTTCATAGTCATAAGCCACCTGGATACCTTGAGGAATAAAACGTGCATAGAAACGTTCTCCTTTAGAAGGTTCTGGCCTCTGGCAGGTAACTGCTTAATTAACTCAGCCTGTGTGAACTGTGACTTGGACCCATATGGATTCACATAGTTTGTTGCTGCTATGGGTTTATTTAATGGGATACATTTTAACCTTGGTCTTCCATTTTAATGCTGATCCGTTGGCCTTACTGAGTGAGCAAACAAGCCACAGTAAGTCCAGTAGAAACTGAGGCATGGGGGAGGGGCCTAAGTAAAATAGCTAATGGGAAGGGGACTCAGGAATTTACCTGGGAGCCTGTGCTTTTTCATATCACATCACTCCTGCCCTCCGTAACTCCCTTGCAGTCTTTAGTCATGAGGAACAGGGCCCCCAGCCATGCAGTTGGCCCAGTCAGGAACCCCAGAGCGTGCCTTGGTTTCTCCCATCCACCTCACAGCTGGCAGCCACAACCTAAATGCTGTCTCTGCCCCCACGGCCACTCCTTCACTCTACTCCACGCTCTATCTCTTCTTGCCTGGTCTCTTGGAGCAGCTCTTAAGTGGTCTCATTTGTTCATTCATTCATTCAACAGATACCACTAGTCAGCTGCCATGTATGTGCCAGGCCTCACTAATCAGCCGTGGCCTCCTACCATCACGGCACCACCATGACCTTTCCAAAGAATGAATCTGATCAGGCCACAATATGCTAAAGAAAATGTAACTGGCCCCTGTCATTTTAAAGGATCACATGCCTTTCATAAGACGAGCTCTGAATGGCTTGAAATGCATGCGTGTTGAATGTACCCATGGATTTTTCTGGCCAAAATTAATTTTAGGAAATTGTTAGCGAGGATGAGCAAAAAGGGATACTTTTCTCCTCTCCACCGCTTGTCCTGCCCAAAGTTGCAGCCGCCCAAGTTGTGTGAGTGTGTGTGTGTGTGTGTGTGTGTGTGTGTGTGTTCGACTGGAAAATGTTCCCCCATCGTCCAGAGAGTTGAAATCAAAGCTTTTAAAGGAAGTTGCTTAGTAGGACTCTCAGGAGTCTGAAATGAAACCTATGAGACTTGGGTGTTTTTTGTTTTGATTGTTATATTCTCTTACAGTCAACCCGTTGCTGCCTAACAGATCATATTAAGCCTTAAATTAATTTTAGTGACTCTTGTTACTGATGACACAGTGATGACTTCTGCAGCGTCCCAGAAACACTCGGCTCTTCCCTCCTTGGAGTCTTTATTTTTTCACTTCTCTGAGTTCTGCTTCACCACCCCCTGAAAATCACACTTTTGTTGTAACTCTTAAACTCCAAGGGCTGCCAGACTCCTGTGCCAGGCCGTATTCTCTTGTGGGCACCAAAGGATTCTCCATGCCCCCTCCCCCATGGTTTCGTGTTTTCAGAGGTTCCTCTGCAAGCTGGTTCTCTGCTCATACCGTTGTCTTCGTCATCCAAAGCGCGTGTTGGTGTGTCCTCATCCTCCTTGTTTTCCTCACCTGGAACCCCTCCATCCACCAGAGCAAGGATGCTGTCCCACAGAATACGACTGTCCCACTGACTGGCTGCTTGACCACGGACACATGAGTTCCATTCCCTGAGCCTCAGTTTTGCCATCTAAAGCATGGGTGTAATACCTACTTCAAATGGTTTTTGTGAGGATGGAAAGAGATACCAGGTACCCAGTGCCTGGCATCCTTTGAAGAGAGCAAGAGATGCTAACCATCCTGGTTGTCACAAGGTTCAATCCCAGTCCATCCACGAACCTTTACAGCATCTTCCCACTGTCCACCGCTCCTGTTGTGCTTAAGGATTCCTATCTCTGTGCGTTACCCTCCACAGATAGGCTGCGAAGTGAGCTAGGGCCTGGGTTGTGCCTCATGTCGACATAAGAGCCTACAGGAGCCAGACATGGAACAGAAAATAGATTAGGTGTCAGAAAAGGAGGGAGGAGTGGGGACTCTGCCCAACTCGAGGACACACATACCTCTGGTCAGTTATTGGTCATACGGGAATATGGGCTCAGTGTTGCCAGATCACAGCCTTTTCAAAGGAAGTTAGATTCTTATATGAAGTGTCCTTGGGCCAACACTGTTTTCAGGTCAAACAAAGCATGTCTGTGAGACCCCCATTTGTGAAAACTGTCGGATTCAGATGGCCCACACAGGTTTGTGCATAAGCTGGTTCTCTGGACCTCTGAGCTCACTTTTAGTGAGAAACAACGCTGCGCATGGCATGCAGGGGTCCAGGCTAAGCTAGAAGGCTGATTCCCATTCGTAGCCGACCTAAAGCTTAGGACAGCCCTAAGAAATGTAATCTCTGTGTGAAAGCCTTTCCCCACAGGGAACCACATTTAGAGTTCTGGTTTACGATGTTGGGGACACGTGTACTAGAATGGAAGCCCTTTCAGGACAGGGCCTTTGTTTTGTTCACTGCTATTTCCTCAATGTCTAAAACACCACCTGGAACTCAATAAACATGTGTTGAATTAAATATTACTTGTGTCTTTATACATCTGCCCACCAGTAATCTGCTCCTTGTATGCAAACAAGGACGATCTTGCTCCCCATGGCATCCCCAGCACTTGGCAGGAGCTAGATCAGTAAATATTTGTGGAATGAATGCATGACGGCAGCGATCTAGCCATCAAGCACTTATGGAGCACCTGCTGTGTGCCAAGGGCTATGCTGGCCTTCAGGGATGCAGGGGTGACTCAGACACTGTGTCAGTCTCCAGGAATTAGGTCACACAGAAAGGATTGCACAAACTGTTTTCCTGGAACACTTCTAAAAATGGTCAGGAGTTACTCAGCATCCCCCTTCCCAGAAGAGAGGGGAGTGGGTGAGACGGTGAGACCATTCCGCACCAGGATTCTTCATTCATCTGAGCGTGCCTGGGGTTGAACTTATCCGTAGGGTCTGGATAAGAAATGATTGAATTGATTTTCTTTCAACCGCATGTCGGAATGAGCCAAGCGAGTGCTGCCTTTTCAAGTGGGCACCTCGGAAGGCCGCGTCCTCGTTGCACTTCATAGTTACGACAGTGCTGGACCCTTTCTTTGGCAAGTGCCCCCGGAGAAACTAGAAGCCATTTGAGGATATTTGTTTCACTGCTTTAGGATCACGCCTTATTTTTGCTCCTTCCCCTCCCCCAAACTGTTTGGGATGAAAGCGTTCTTCCAACCACTTTATCCCTCCAACTTGGTTCCAAGTGACTTTGGGTTGTTTCCTAAAATCCAGTCTGTGATCAAAAGAAAAATATTTTCTCTTGTTGAGTTAATTGAGCAGCGTGTGCCCCAGGCTGTGGATTTGGCAAGCCCAAAGAGAAGTCCCCCAGTTGTCACATACCCCAGTAGTTCCATCGGAAGAAGTGTTCAATCTTCCAAGCTGTCTGTGACAAAGGGGGCAGGATTCTTTCTGATGCCTCCACTCTGGTGTTTGTGTTGAGGAGGGGAAAAATGACAAACTCTACCTAGTTTACTTTTATGTGCCCAAGATCTAGCACGGATTCTGGACGTGTAGGTACCCAGAGAGGTTTTACGGAGAGGAAAAGTGGAGGATGATGAGGTCTGACATTGAAGTGTTAATCATGTTTCTCACGGTGCTGGCTCAGGTCACACGTCACATCTGATTGTTATGTGATCGAAGGCGATCACAGCCAGCACCTCCAAAAGGAAACTGAGGTCTGAGGTTAAATAACTTGCTCAAGGGGGGGCGCCTGGGTGGCTCAGAGGGTTAAAGCCTCTGCCTTTGGCTCAGGTCATGATCCCAGGGTCCTGGGACCAAGCCCCGCGTCGGGCTTTCTGCTCCGCGGGGAGCCTGCTTCCTCCTCTCTCTCTCTCTGCCTGCCTCTCTGCCTACTTGTGATTTCTCTCTCTGTGTCAAATAAATAAAATCTTAAAAAAAAAAAATAACTTGCTCAAGGTCATCAAGCCAGCAGGTGACCACACTGGGGTCTGAGCCCCCGTAGGAAGCCCTCACCCTGGGCCGTTAAACTGTACTCATTGAGAAGGTGATGGGCATGGAATCATAATGATCCCAAAGAGACCAACGGGTTCAGCCCCCACTGTGGCCATAAAACCTCCCTTCAGTCAGTGGGTCACGGCCTGTCCAGCTGTCTGGCTTTTCCTTTGGTATTTGTGTTCTCAGGCCATCCCACTGCTCTTGTTAACAAAGATGCTCCAACCCTGGGACCCCATCAGAAAAGGCTGCACAAGGGAGTGTGTGGTTCAAAGCTCGGCTGAATGGGGCGCCTGTAAGCTACTGTGTATTTTTGGAACATTTCGGAACCTGCCCCACCCAGAATGCACAGTGACAGCACAGAAGAGAGGGACTGGGAATTTGAGCTGAAAGTGACCCAAAGTCATACCCACAAGGACCACGAGTCTGATCCCGCTAACCTACCAACTCCATGCCTGACCTTGGGCAGGTTTCTCGGTCCTCCTGAGCCTCGGTTTCCCCATCTGGAGGAAGAGTTCTTTCCTGGTCAGGACTAGAAGGTGCGTGCCCTCTTGTCTGAGGTTTGCTCACTGGGCGTTTGTCCGCAGGCTGGAGGAGAACTACGAGATCGCGGAAGGCGTCTGCATTCCGCGAAGTGCCCTGTACGTGCATTACCTGGACTTCTGCGAGAGGAACGACACGCAGCCTGTCAACGCGGCCAGCTTCGGGAAGGTGAGTCGGCCTCCCCAGCCCTCCTCCTCTTCCCGTCTTCCGAGTCACTTATGTACCATTCTTAAGCTTTGCTGACATCTTCATTGCTTTGGTTTTTGCCGCAACCAACACATCTTAACAAGGTGATACCAAGCCGAATACCAAACGAACTAATTGCAAAGTATTGAAAACTCCAAACGATTCGGACAGGTCCTCAAGTGAAAAAGCTAACACCTAACTTGAATTTCCTCAGTACTTAATTTGCAGGAACTGGCTTCTTTCCTCCAAGAGGCCAATGTTAAATTCCCCAGGGTGTTGCTTATGTAACAGTGAGGCTGGGGCGGGCAGACTGCTTGGCTTTGTAGTGGGAAAGCCTTGGGGAAGCCGGAAAACGGCCTCTCATCGTTAGCCTGGCGGTCTGAAAATCCTCTGTGGGGAGCGATGCTATCTGTAACATGACTGCGGGCCTGGCTGCTGTCTGTCCATCTCGTGATAAAAATACATTCCACACTTCAGGCTATGTCCACAAAAACTCCTTGTCGCTGGTCATTCATTTTAACAGGCCAAGGAACACTGCTGGAATATTCTTCTAAGACTAATCTTTAGTCTGTTTGATAGAAATGCAGGTTTGGGGGCACCTGGGTGGCTCAGTTGGTTAAACATCGGACTCTTGATTTCGACTTAGGTTATGATCTCAGGGTCATGAGATCAAGCCATGAGTCGGGCTCCGTGCTCAGTGCAGAGTCTACTTAAGATCCTCTGTCTCAGGGTGCCTGGGTGGCTCAGTGGGTTAAGCCACTGCCTTCGGCTCAGGTCATGATCCCAGGTCCTGGGTTCGAGCCCCGCATCAGGCTTTCTGCTCAGCAGGGAGCCTGCTTCCTCCTCTCTCTCTGCCTGCCTCTCTGCCTACTTGTGATTTCTCTCTGTCAAATAAATAAATAAATAAATAATCTTTAAAAAAAAATCCTCTGTCTCCCTCCCCCTGTGCCCCTCCCCCACTATAAGTAAACAAATAAATAAGTAAAATCTTAAAAATGTATTTATACCTCTAAAATACCTAATTTAATTTGAGTCAGTACATCCAAACTCTTCTTCCTTTTATTAGCTTCTTTCCCCCATGTATAAGTTTTGCCGCATTTGCTCACAAAAAGGCAGGTGTGTTTTGCACCAGGATTCCTCACCAGGTTTCCAAGTGCGCCCATAACAAGGACTGAAGTGGCAGGAAGAGGTGACCTTTCATCAGTCATCAGCTGGGTTAGGGGAAAGAGAGCAGCGTCAGGCCTGAGCCAGCAACCGCCCCCCTGCCCCTCTGCCGGAGAGTTCAAAGCCACGTGGCTGAGAGTTAGCTCCACTGAGGAAATGTGAGGGTGCTCCGTGGTGACTTAGGGGAGGGCCTATGGTTTTGTGATGCATTCCACGTGCAAATAATTGTTTAAAAAAGTGAGTGGAGAAAGCAGCTTTGCCGTTTCTTTCATTCATTTCTTCATTCCTTTGGTGTGGGTTGAGATGGGCCGCGTGGCAGGCACTGTGTTCTGCAGAGACCCAGGAGGGAATGGAGTGTGGGTCCCACTTGTGGAGAGCCTCACAGTCGAGGGAGGTCGGTGAGCACCTCAGTGGGTGCGAGAAGGAAGGGCATACCAAGAATGCAGGGGGAGATTGGAGCTTTGTCACTCGTCTGGGGTCCGGGGACATTTGCTCGCATCCACACTCCCTGGCAGCGGCCCCAGTAGAGAGTTCAGATAAGGCCTCCAATGGAGGGAGAGGTTGGGTGAACTGAAAGATCCAGAATGCTAACTGTCCTGGACTTGTCCCTTAACTTCTCTGAGTTGTCCTGACCTGGGACCCTTCCTTTTGCACAGAGCACCTCTCTCCACCTGTGCTGTTCAGGACAGTAGCCACTACGGTTGTTTAACATAAGCAGAAGAAAAAATTCTGTCCTTCAGGCACACTAGCCCGATTCCACATGCCCACTGGCCACAGGTAACTGGAGACTGTCCTACTGGGCAGTGCAAATAGAACACTTCATCATCACACAAGGTATTATTGGACAGCCCTGTTCTGAACCATTGTGAGCCAGAGATGAAACTCACAGCCCTATGGGCTTTGCACCAGACAGCCCGTAGGAAGCACCTGTGATCCCAGGAGACTGAAGTCTGCAGGGGGGACTTAAATCCCAAACAGGGTCCTGTGGAACAGGTATCCCCAGTTCAAGACTCCCCACCACACTGGAGGCTCTGGGCCCTCCCCCTACCGGTTCCCCACAAGTGGTCTCAGCCCTCTCTGCTTGGCTACCTCCTCTCTCCCCCTCCACCACCTCCCACTGCTCCCCTCCCCACCCCTTCCTCCTCGGGACCACCTCCACCAAATCACCCCTGTTCTCTGATCCATGTTCCTCCTGACCTCTGTGCACCAAATGGCTTTTCAGAATCTTTTTCCAAATAATAACTTTTTCTCTCTAAGAATTATAATGTCAGCTGCTTCCAAAATAGTCACTAAAAAGGCAGCCAAACTCCATCTTATCTTTATTTCAAAAGCAAGGACATAGTCCAGTGGTATTAAAAACACAAATGGAAGAGCTCTTTGCAGGTACCTAGACATTGATTTCAAATGTACCGGGAACTAGGGCTGTCCTTCCAGCCACAGAGGACAGAAGGGGCCCGCTGAGGGTTTCCGCACTAAGCTCCTCGAGCTGGAGCCCCAGCCACACTCGCCCTTCCTGAGGGCTCCCAGCTGCAGCTGCCTTCCCCCTGAAAGAAAGGGACCGGTTGTTCTGTGAAGCCTGGGATTGTCATCAAGGGCAGCCTTGCTTTGAACAGATCCATCCAAACTTTCGATTCATCTATGAACTTTCAACTCTGAGTAGACAAGGTTCAACATTTCGGCTTCGTGTTTAGAGAAAAATGTCACTGGTGGCAGCTTCCCCCCACTCCACCCCCACGTCCCCAGCTTGCAAGTGGGCTGAGGTGACGCAGGCGTCAGCCGTGAGGCTCTCCCCGCAGGTCGCCTGGCTGGGATACCGTCCTTGATAAAGTGAGTAGAGCGCAGCAACTGTTTTGCCCCAAGTATGATCTGAAAGAGATCCTCTTTCCAGCACTGCGGCCACACTCCATAAGCCCTGGCTTCCAGTAATACCGTATTGACTTTGGGTCCCAGAATTAATTTAGGCGTCGCAGAGAATGCTGAAGCTTCGAGCTGAGCTGGTCTTGTGCCTGCTTTTCTGTTGTCCACCACGAAAGATGACCCAGCTTGAAGTCACTGAAATTTTCCGATCTCCCATTTCCTTACCTCTAGACGGGAGTAATCCCTCCCCAAATCATGGCAGGGATAAAATGACATAGCGCCTATGAGAACATTTTTTAAAATTGTGATGTGTTCTACCAATGGAAGAAGGCGCCGCTATCTAAAACTGGTCTCCCTCCATCTGGCTTCTTCTGTTTCCCACCATGCTTTTCTTTTCTTTTCTTTTCTTTTTAAAGATTTTATTTATTTATTTGATACAGAGAGAGAGATCACAAATAGGCAGAGAGGCAGGCAAGAGAGAGAAAGGGAAGCAGGCTCCCCACTGAGCAGAGACCCCCCCCAACCCCCGACATGGGATCATGACCTGAGCCAAAGGCAGAGGCTTTAACCCACTGAGCCATCCAGGCGCCCCATGCTTTTCTTTTCTTAATAGCACTTCTTGTTGTCCTGACTGTTACCTGTATGATACAACTAATGTATTTCATCTTGCATGGGTAGTTATCTACATGTCATTGCCTATTATTCTACCACTTCATACTACAGATAATATAGACTGTCTATAACTATATAACTAGTTATATACTAGTTATAGACTGTATATAACTGTATAACTATCATATACATATGACATAACTAAAAAATATATATGTGTACCTATATGTTAGTTGTGTGTTTTTTATTTGCCTCCTTCTCTAGAATGGAAGCTCCACGAGGACCTTTTTGTTCACTGTGAATCCCTGGCTCCCAGAATAGCCCCTGGCGCATAATAGATCTTCAGATATTTATTGAAGATTGAATGACTTATGTTATGGCCAAGGACACTGGAATCATTTGACACTTGTGAATTTGTTTGACCTACATGATGCCCATATAAAGCAGACATGATATCCATTTCCCATTAGCCCATTTACTGAGCGGGGATGAACTTGTTCAGGTACCAGTGGAAACCGGCTGTGTTTTCCTGTACTCTGAGGGACCACCTCCAGAGTCCTCTGTTTCACCTTCCCGCTCTGTCCTCTGATGACATCACAGAGAAGCCCCACAGTATCTAATCATCATTTTGGTCTTGGTTGGTTAACTAAAACTTCTTCTCAGCTATGAAAAAATCCTATTCAGTCCAGTTTAAAACCTCCATCTGTGGGCACCTGGGGGGCTCAGTGCGTTAAGCATCCGTCTTCAGCTCAGGTCATGATCCCGGGGTCCTGGGATCGAGCTTCACATTGGCCTCTCTGCTCAGCAGGGAGCCTGCTTCCCCCTCTGCCTGCTGTTCTCCCTGCTTGTGTTTTTATTCTCTCTCTCTGTCAAACAGATAAATAAAATCTTTTAAAAGACAAAAACAAAAACAAACAACAAAACCTCCATCTGACAGGGAAGTCAGAGTCTCTCCCTTCCTGAGTGAGGTGCAGGATTTGCTCTGTGCAAGGGGGGCATGGTGGGCCTTCCCACTGTCCTCTAACTTCCCCAGAGCTGGGGCAGAGGGATGTCGGAGAAGGGTGGGAGGAAGAAAGTCAACGGGAGTCATTTTGACCAGCTGGTACCCTGCAAGGTCTCCTCCTGCTAGTGACCTCTGCTGGACTCATGGGTTTGGGGGACCCCATGGATCTCCATCCACACTGGCTAAAGGGATGGGCTCTGCAGCTGACCTCCCTTCCACCACCCACCTCCAGGCCGCTCTTGTTCCTCCACTGAGTTGTGTCGGAGGGTTTTGACTAGCTCACTGCACACCGACTGTTACACCCCGACTCTCAGAGATGCCCAGGTGAGCCCCCGCAAATGTAGCT